CGGGCAGCGCAGGCCTGGGTGCGAGCGCCCTCCGCGCTCAGAGGCCTCGCCCGTTCTCTGCCAACTCCCCATGGTTATTATTAGCTCTGAAAGCACAGGGGCGAAGGGGATGGAAATGACTCTAGTCCCAAGGAATCCTTTGTCAAATTGCCTTATTGGCACTGAAAATGGGCACAGTAAAGGCACAAAGCATGATATCCTGCATCCTAGCCCGTATCACGGACATTTACGAAATGGAGGGACTGTACTTGTATAATGTGAGAAATCTAGAGGTAAGACACGCTATAAATCCCGTCAGCAGTCATTTAAGACAAAGCCCTCACATAGGTTTACTTCCTCCTGCATTTGTGTGACCACGCGGGACACGTACAGCTCAGAGGCACTCTCTCCATCTCATTTGGCAAAACTGACATTTTATCAGCCAGTTCCCCTCCCTGTAAGTCTTAGCTATGAAATGGAATATTTCTTCCAAATATTTTTGTGGAAACACTTCTTTGTACAATAAAAGTCTAGTTGCAACTAACTAGCTATGAGTTCCTATTTAATTTCAGGAAGCAAATGCTTTTAACACTGCGCACTTACAGGCTTTTCAACACAGAGGCCTTAATATTTCCTGTGTTTTTCACAAACACAAAGTGAGCAGAACCCACTAATGCACGTGGCTGCGTGGGACATTTGGTCCGACTCAGAGCATTGAGAACAGAATGGTCAGCGTGCACCTTATTGGGGCACCTTTATTCCTACTCTGCTCCTGAAGTTTCTGGAAGCTCCTTCCTGCTGCATAGACTAAGAACAGAATGGAAAGCCAGTCCTCTGGGCTGCAACTCCCCACCTATGGAAGGTCCAGGATAAAACCTTTGATGTCATTTTCAGTTCCACCACTTTCCTTTAAAAAAAAATTTTTTTTTTAAATTGATTTCAGAGAGGGAGGGAGAGAGAGCTAGAAACACCAATGATGAGAGAATCATGGATCGCTGCCACTCTGTTCTTACGACCCTGAAATTCTTAGTTTCTGATGGTTTCCCCACGCAGGAAAAACTATACGAGTTACAATATAAACAAGAAGCTGACCTTTAACTTAGTTATTCTCACCTAGACTTGCAGGTCCCTGCGGCTTCTCGTGCCCTGAACACCCTCGTTTTGTAACAGGACCAGTTACTGAAGGGATTTCTATTCTAAGTGGAAGTCCCGTGTTCACTTCTCCCTCCTGACTGAACTGGGTAAGGACCAATGGCAATGCCCACGCGGACGCTGGATGCCAACTGCAAGCACCAGGGCGTCCCCATCTCGGAGCCTGGACTCCCCAGCTCCCACCTGCCGGTCAGCGGGTGCTGCGGAGGGAAGTGAGGCCCCTCTATCCCAGGGAGGGGAGGGTTAACTTTAGAAAAGCCGAGGCTGAGTGAATAACACTGGAGAGACAACTTGACGAGAACCTTTCTCTTTGCCTGAGATTTCTAATGCTATAAAAGGAGCACTTCTGTTACAGTCACTCATAATCATTTTAAAATAGACTTATACATGGAGAAAACTCTATGAAGCATTAACACAGTATCCAAAAACATGATTTTATTTTTTATCATCTGTACATAATCTACTTAATCAACATATAAACGCCTTCCCAAAGCCGGACATTAAGCTCCCATTCCCACCAGCTCTCCCACCCAATCTCTGAGGACCTCACGTGTCCCATCTCCAGTCAGGGGCTGGCAGACGTCCTCTAAAAGGGCGGAGAGGAAACAGCTTGGGCTGGCAGGCCTCGTCTGGGCTGTGATCTCCTGAGGTGAAGTGCACACAGGCGAGTCCAGCTACGCTCCAACGCTTTACTTGCGGACACCGATGGTTCATGAAATGCCCGTCTCTGCTCTCCTTCCCCCCCATTAAACTGCAGAAGCCGCCCAGCTCGCGGGCATGTAACGCAGCAGCCGACTCGGGCATGAGCCTCCGTTTGCCAACCTCTGTTCCAAACTACCTCCCAAACCCAGGCACTTCACAACTTCAAATCGTTGCTCCCCAGAGACTTGAAGTAACTGCTCACAGCCTCATCAGTCACTTCCGCCAGGCTGGCCGGCTTCCACTTTGGACTCTGGTCTTTATCTATTAAAACTGAAGTGAAGAACAAGAAACATCAGTTCATTTCTTGCTGAGTCACGATTCTAATTACCGAACGACAAACGCCTGGTACGAGGCGTGGTTTTCCAGCACATGTCTTTCTGCAAAGTGTGAATTTGTGTGTTTCTCTTCCTCTTAAAAGTGAAGCCCCACAGATTCCGGACGGGCGGCCACGTGCTGATGAGGACCGCATGGTAACCGCCAGCCCGGGCCTCCGAGCGAAGCCAGCGTTCGGGGCTAGAAGCCTCGTCGTCTTCCGGCAAAGCCGTGAAGGAAGTCTCCTGTTATACAGCAGCTGGACCAGCGCAGGGGTGACTGGGAGGACAGCAGGAGGGAGGAGGGTCTCCCTCACCCAGCTGAGGTGAGGGAAGATGACTGAAGGGAGAGGAAGGGGCTTACGCATAACTCAGCGTGGACCCTGCCTCTGCTGAGCCCTCCGCTCACACAGCCCTGAGTCAGCGCCGACGTCACCGGCATCATGAGAAGCCCCTCCAGCCTCAGTGGTGTCATCACTGAGTGCAGCCAGGAGACCCCACAGGAGGGTGAGCGCGAGGCGTCTGTAAGGCCCCTTTAAGGGGGGGTGCCAGCTTCCGGCTGACAGTGCACAGCTACCGATGCTGCCATTGGGGGCTGATGGGGCAGGCAGGGCCTCTCTGTGGGGTTTCTTAAGTTGTCGCAAAGCCGTGAAGGGAAGGGGCCGCACTCACATGGCTGTGGCGGGCGGTTTGAACCATGTTTACTAGTAAAACGTGCACAGTCCCTGTGAAGAGTGGAAACATATCAACAGACAAACTCTACAAGAACCAGACACCGCCTGTAGGGTTCAAGGTAAATGATGAGAGCAGCGATCTGGGACCAGGAAGCAGGCTGCTGGAAGGGAGGGGTGGGGGGTGGATGCATAGTTAAGTGTGGACACTGGGGCGCAGTTCAGCTGCCTGGCTGTGAGGCCCCAGCATCAGCATCAGACCAGTGAGGGTGCTGACCATGATGTCATCTTCCCAGCCAACCTGAGCTGCACATCCGGGGCAGTGCCCATGCAAGCAGCCCTGGGACAGGCTTCCCGCCAGGACCCCCGGGCCCCTGCCAATGCTGTCTGCCGCCCGGACGTCCCCTCAAGGGCACAGGAAAGAGTGATTAACTCGGAGTCTATTCTATTCCCAACGAGCACTTTGTCAGCAGACAGGCAGCCTGCATGGAGGCAGCTCCGCCCGCAGCTGCTCTGCTAGAATGACCTGCTTTGCTTTCCCCGATGCCCAGAAGTCTGCTCTACACGCTAACAACGAACACCTCTGACAACCACTCCCCTAATTTGCTACTTTACTTAATTTGATGACATGTTCTATAATTAGCAAATTAACGCAAACATTTGATTATGCAAAAACACCGAACAGTTTTCCCGAGAACAGATGCTACTT